TCGGCTAACACCCAGGTGAACAGGGAAAAACGCCTGGAACTAGTGCTCATATTGGTGAATTTAAAGCCAGCAAAGGTTGGTTTGAGAGATTTAAGAATCGTAGTGGCATACACAGTGTGATAAGGCCTGTTCTGGAAGAAAATGCCAAACAGGACCTACAGTACTCAGGAGGAAAAGGCACTCCCAGGACACACACTCATCAGTCATTGCTGCATCTTCAATAAAGGTAAGTGTCATTTATTCTTCATTTAGTAGAGTAGTACATGCACAATATATACTGTGCATGTACTACTCTACTATTGTGCATGTATCCTTCTCTTTGTGTGTAGGAAAATGCATATTTCATGTGGTAAAATTTTTTTTTTTCATACTTTTGGGTGTCTTGCATGGATTAATTTGATTTCCATTATTTCTTATGGGGAAAATTCATTCGCATAACGATAATTTCGCATAACAATGAGCTCTCATGAACGGATTAATATCGTTATGCGGGGGTCCACTGTAGTTGGACTTGAGTCCTGGAAATGGGAAGTACAATGCCTGCACTTTAAAGGAGGGGTTTGGGATATTGGCAGTTTGGAGGGATATGGTGTGTATCTTTATACGTATATGCTTCTAAGCTGTTGTATTCTGAGCACCTCTGCAAAAACAGTGATAATGTGTGAGTGTGGTGAAAGTGTTGAATGATGAAAGTATTTTCTTTTTGGGGATTTTCTTTCTTTTTTGGGTCACCCTGCCTCTGTGGGAGACGGCCAACTTGTTGAAAAAAAAAAAAAATACCGGGTGGGTGGCAGTCGCCGCTGTTGCCGTACGCACGTCACTTTCTGCAAACTTTGTGGCTCTATATCTTGGTAAGTACTGATGGCAAAAAATTTTTTTTAAGACTTAACCCCTTCAGGGTCCAAGGCCCAAATCTGAAGTGGTGCCCCAGTGTCCAAGAATTTAAAAAAAAAAAATTTATTTTTTCTTATGAAATGGTAGAGAATCTTTTTGTGAAGGTGATAAAACAAAAAGTACGAAATTTGATGGAAAATTGACGAAATTATGCTCTCGCGAATTTTGATGTGCCAGCGATATTTACGAATCGGCGATTTTGCCGACTTTGACTCCCATTTTAGGCCAATTACATTATTCCAGTCAACCAAATTCTTAGCTATTTCACTAGTATTACTTCTATTCTATCGATTGAGCACAAGAAATCGCCAAGTCAACTGTTTCAACTACAAATTAAGTGATCGGAAATTGTTAATTTGGCCAATTTAACACAGTTCAAAATATTCCAATTTCAAAATAGGGTCCAGAATAAACAATGTAGGTATTCCTGGAACTAAACTAACATTTCCTCTGTTCATTAGTTATGTTTTGAGGCTTTACAAATAAATACCATTTTGATTTTTATTTCACATAATAGAATTTTATTCCACACCAAAAATAGAAGATGACTTTATGCAATAACTGTAATAATTGTAAATTCATCACCATATTGTGAATGCAAATTATACCCACCAGCAGGGTGAGATAGACGTGTAGGTTGTTTGTTTACATCTTGAAAATCGGCAAAAATTTAAAACATTTCCGCACTTTGAGCTCAAGTTCAGCCATTCCATGCCTAAACCAATTCAAAATCATCTCTAGTCTTAATATGTCTTCCATCTACAAATGAGGGGCCAAGAATGCAAATAAACTATGAAAAAACTTACAAAACAGACACTGCAAGTCCTGTTTTAATCGAAAAATCATAGTTCAGTTTTTTCTCTATATACACAGTGTGCTTGCAGATGTGTGTTTATGTGGTGCACACATACACACATAGTGTATCCTCACATATCTGAGGCCCGGGTTGACCACTCACAGTTATCAGAGTGAGCTAGTTACATGACGTAGATCTACGTTTTGACCCTGAACGTAAAAGCAAGATCTACGACGGACCCTGAACGTAAGCCATAGATTCACGACGGAACCCTGAAGGTTAAAACACTGCAGAAAATATTCTAACATTTTCATATATGAAAAAATAATTTTTTTTTTTTTTTTTTCAAATATTTTGCGACATAGAATGACAGTTTCAGAAAGGGGCCTGCGAGAGTCAAAGGGTTAACAAGAAAGAGGAGTTGCTGAAGGATAGCAAGAAAAGTGTTCCATCACACTGGTAGAGCATTAGAATGATTTACAAGATGTAAAGTAATGTGTTCTACAACCAATGAAAAATTTTAAAAGCTTTTGCACAGCATAAATACCAACCAGGAGACACAAACAGCTCGGCTCACCTCCTCCAGGTACAAAGAGGTACTTACTCAAAATCTGCATGGCATTAATGATTTTCATGAATGGTCTTTTGTATGTTTCCAAAGTAATTTTGGATTAGTTTTTTTTTTTTTTTTTTTTATATTTTTTTTTTTTTTTTTTTTTTTTTTTTTTTTTTTTTTTTTTTTTTTTTTTCTCTCTCTCAACAAGTCGGCCGTCTCCCACCGAGGCAGGGTGACCCAAAAAAAAAGAAAGAAAATCCCCAAAAAGAAAATACTTTCATCATCATTCAACACTTTCACCACACTCACACATTATCACTGCTTTTGCAGAGGTGCTCAGAATACAACAGTTTAGAAGCATATATGTATAGTGATACACAACATATCCCTCCAAACTGCCAATATCCCAAACCCCTCCTTTAAAGTGCAGGCATTGTACTTCCCATTTCCAGGACTCAAGTCCGACTATATGAAAATAACCGGTTTCCCTGAATCCCTTCACTAAATATTACCCTGCTCACACTCCAACAGATCGTCAGGTCCCAAGTAACATTCGTCTCCATTCACTCCTATCTAACACGCTCATGCACGCTTGCTGGAAGTCCAAGCCCCTCACCCACAAAACCTCCTTTACCCCCTCTTTCCAACCCATTCGAGGACGACCCCTACCCCTCTTTCCTTCCCCTATAGATTTATATGCTTTCCATGTCATTCTACTTTGATCCATTCTCTCTAAATGACCAAACCACCTCAACAACCCCTCTTCTGCCCTCTTGACTAATGCTTTTATTAACTCCACACCTTCTCCTAATTTCCACACTCCGAATTTTCTGCATAATATTTACACCACACATTGCCCTTAGACAGGACATCTCCACTGCCTCCAACCATCTCCTCGCTGCTGCATTTACCACCCAAGCTTCACATCCATATAAGAGTGTTGGTACTACTATACTTTCATACATTCCCTTCTTTGCCTCCATAGATAACGTTTTTTGACTCCACATATACCTCAACGCACCACTCACCTTTTTTCCCTCATCAATTCTATGATTAACCTCATCCTTCATAAATCCATCAGCCGACACGTCAACTCCCAAGTATCTGAAAACATTCACTTCTTCCATACTCCTCCTCCCCAATTTGATATCCAATTTTTCTTTATCTAAATCATTTGATACCCTCATCACCTTACTCTTTTCTATGTTCACTTTCAACTTTCTACCTTTACACACATTCTCAAACTCATCCACTAACCTTTGTAATTTTTCTTTAGAATCTCCCATAAGCACAGTATCATCAGCAAAAAGTAACTGTGTCAATTCCCATTTTGAATTTGATTCCCCATAATTTAATCCCACCCCTCTCCCGAACACCCTAGCATTTACTTCTTTTACAACCCCATCTATAAATATATTAAACAACCATGGTGACATTACACATCCCTGTCTAAGACCTACTTTTACCGGGAAGTATTCTCCCTCTCTTCTACACACCCTAACCTGAGCCTCACTATACTCATAAAAGCTCTTTACAGCATTTAGTAACTTACCACCTATTCCATATACTTGCAACATCTGCCACATTGCTCCTCTATGCACTCTATCATATGCCTTTTCTAAATCCATAAATGCAATAAAAACTTCCCTACCTTTATCTAAATACTGTTCACATATATGTTTCAATGTAAACACTTGATCTGCACATCCCCTACCCACTCTGAAGCCTCCTTGCTCGTCCGCAATTCTACATTCTGTCTTACCTCTAATTCTTTCAATTATATCCCTACCGTATACTTTTCCTGGTATACTCAGTAAACTTATTCCTCTATAATTTTTACAATCTCTTTTGTCCCCTTTCCCTTTATATAAAGGGACTATACATACTCTCCGCCAATCCCTAGGTACCTTCCCCTCTTTCATACATTTATTAAACAAAAGTACCAACCACTCCAACACTATATCCCCCCCTGCTTTTAACATTTCTGTCATGATCCCATCAGTTCCAGCTGCTTTACCCCCTTTCATTCTACGTAATGCCTCACGTACCTCCACCACACTTACATTCTGCTCTTCTTCACTCCTAAAAGATGGTATACCTCCCTGGCCAGTGCATGAAATTTACCGCCTCCCTTCTTCCTTAACATTTAAAAGTTCCTCAAAATATTCTCACCATCTACCTAATACCTCCCTCTCCCCATCTACTAACTCCCCTACTCTGTTTTTAACTGACAAATCCATACTTTCCCTAGGCTTTCTTAACTTGTTTAACTCACTCCAAAATTTTTTCTTATTTTCATTAAAATTTCTTGACAGTGCCTCTCCCACTCTTTCATCTGCTCTCCTTTTGCACTCTCTCACCACTCTCTTCACCTTTCTTTTACTCTCCATATACTCTGCACTTCTTATAACACTTCTGCTTTGTAAAAACCTCTCGTAAGCTACCATTTTCTCTTTTATCACACTCTTCTGAAAGAGTAATTTTTTGTAAGATATGTCAGTTGTTTATTTTGTGATAACTTTTCTCTTTTAGATTGATGCACCTTTACTATGGAAGAATTGTTTTATATCTCCCATTGTGATTTATTATCTTTACTCTTTGTAGGGGGTTCCTTGAAGTTGGAGAAGGGCTCTTTAGCCAAGGAATTGAAGCTGCCTTTCCCAATGACATCCCCGTCGCCCAAGTGTTTATGAATCCTACGTGTTAAGTGCTTCATCCTGACTTATGATGATAATATGTTCTTTCATTCTACAGCAAACTGCAGTGGGCACCATCAGTCACTGCCTATGTCACCACTTGTACAGCAGCTACCAAATTATCAACCACAGCTGCCTCTCACCTCACTGCTGCTGCTGCTGCTACTGCTGCTACTACAAATGCTGCTGCTGCTATTACTACTACTGCTGCTGCTACTGCTGCTGCTGCTGTTACTACTGCTACTATGACTGCTGCTACTATTACTACTGCTGCTGCTAATACTACTGCTGCAGCTGCTACTGCTGCTTCTGCTGCTGCTACTGCAGCTGCTGCAGCTGCTGCTACTGCTGCCTATGTCATGACCCAGTGTGATAGTCAGGCTGGAGGATCAGCTGTGAGTGGCACATGCACAGCAGAGGAGAACTGCAGCACAGCAAGGGAGGGTGGACAGGACAGAAGCTTAGTGATGGATGCTGGAGACGTTCTAGCAGAGGATGTGGATGAAGCAGCCACATGCACAGACCTATCAGGTTGGCAGGTGTGTATCTGGGTTGCTCTTTCAGTCGTAACTAAAAAAAATGTTGAGGGAAGTTAAGCTTGATGTGCATTATAAAACTATGAAGATGGTGTATTGAGGGCCACACAAAGGAAGATGTGTTGATGGAATTGCCGACAGTATGGTAAGTAGGAGGACACAAATGCAACTAATGTGACATTTTATTGTGGCACCATTTTGCTCTCCAGGAGCTTCATCAAGCTTGATCACTTCTTGATAAAGCTCCTGGAGAGTGAAACATTTCCACAACAAAATGTCAGTTGCATTTGTGTCCTTTTACTTAAAGGGAAGATATGTTGCAATTTTTGAACTGTGTGTCGTATTGGTATGCCTCTGGCAAGACAGTGATGGAGTGAACGATGGAAGTGTTTCTTCTTTTTTGGGTCACCCTGGCTCAGTGGGAAATGATCAGTTCAAAATGACATACTACTATATAGAAAGCCCCTTGTTATGTAGAGCATTTCAGACAAATTAGGTCAGTTTTGTCCCCAAGATGCAACCCACACCAGTCAACTAACACCCAGATAACTATTTTACTAATAGGTGAACATGGACAGCAGATGTCACAAGGAAACATGTCCTAATGTTTCCACCTGTACCGGGGGTTGAACCCCGGACCTCAGTGTATGAGCCGAGTGCACCAGCGATCGAGCTATGGGACACCATTCTCATGATGAGAGAAGGCACAGTAGACTGCAAAAAAAATAATAAAAATTAGATAATGCAAAAATCCTACATTATGCAAAATAAGCAATTCATATCAATGAAAATCACCTATGACAGAAAACTTATAAAATGAGCAAATGGAGTGATAGATGGATAGTGCAGTTTAATGTAAGTAGGTGTCCTATAATGAAAATTCAAGTCAAATTATGTTTCCAGGAATTACAGGGGGTTGATTCAGCTTTGGGATTACATCATCTTGTACATTGTGAAGAAAATCCCTTGTAACGTGAAACATTTCAGGCAGACTAAAACTAGCACAGTACTTAGGAACTACTTAATACTAGTAGAGATTTCACTTGCTTGAACCAGTCTTCCTGAATCCTTTCATAAATATTAACTTGCTCATACTCCAACAGCACGTCAAACCATAAGAAATACTTGTCTCACTCTACTCCATTTACACATTTAACATTACATCAAATTCAGTAAATACTTTTTGACACTGTTTTTGAATGTATTGAGTTTGGTTCCGACAAACCGGTCGTAAGTTGAAATGGACGTAAGTCGAACCTTGTTACTGAATATCAACATTACATTTTTGTAATGGCTTTATTTTATTGTTTTATTTTGGTATTTCATTTTTTACTTTACTTTTTATGCTGTTAGTACTGTATTTTATACTGTAAGGTTTAGGATAAACACTGTGTACAACACAAACAGTTGTTTATTTCCCAGAAATTTGGCATAGACAACACAGTTGTAAGTCGAATGGTCGTATGTCGAGCAGGTCGTAAGTAGGATGGTAGGTGTACTTACTTCTAGTGTTATGCCTAGGTGATCTGTTGGAGCTCTCAAGGAATTGTTTTAGTTCAGGGCTAATATTTGTATATGTAATATGCACAATAGTTTACAAATAACCCAGCCACTGTGTGAACTCGCCTATATGTGGTTGCAGGGGTCGATTCATAGCTCCTGGCCCTGCCTCCTTTATCATACCTCTTCTTATGTCAGCATAGTTGCTGATCCCTACATGTGTTGTATAGCTTATCTGAGTATCATAGCACCATCTATATGTTTTACATACACGATCCCTTGCTAGGCCTAGGGACTAGTTTGTGTGACGTCACGTGATGCTGATGTGAGCACTACACTCCCGGCCCTAGGTCTCGGTTCCCGTCAGACCTACCAAGCAGCTACAGGCAGGCTGGGCCTCCCTCTCCCTACACACACTGCAATATAGTGTTACCATCCAACAAGTGTGTTTATCTCCAACCTTCATATCTCTTACGAACCTGCCACGACACTTAAAGCTATGTATGGAACTTTTTTCCACTACTTCACTCTCCAGCTTATTCCATTTCCTCACAACTCTAAGGCTAAAGAAATACTTTCCAACATCCTTATGACTCATCTGGGTTTTCAGCTTCCAATTGTGTTTACCTGTTCCTGTATCCCATGTCTGAAACATTAGTCATGTCCACCATGCTAATTCCTCTCAGTATTTTATACATTATCATGTTCTCCCTATCCCTCCTATCCTGTAGTGTCATCAGGTTGAGTTCCCTTAACCTTTCCTCAATTCCAGGACTAATCGTGTTGCAAATTTTTGCACTTTCTCTAATTTTGTAACGTGTTTGACTAGGTGAGGGTTCCATGTTGGTGCTGCATTCTCCAATATGGGCCTAACGTACACAGTGTACAGGGTCCTGAATGATTCCTTATTAAGATGTCGGAATGCTGTTCTTAGGTTTGCTAGGCGCCCGTATGCTGCAGCAGTTATTTGGTTGATGTGTTCTTCAGGAGATGTGCCTGGTGTTATACATACCCCAAGATCTTTTTCCTTGTGTGAGGTTTGTAGTCTCTGTCCCCCTAGACTGTACTCTGTCTGCGGTCTTCTTTGCCCTTCCCCAATCTTCATGACTATGCACTTGGTGGGGTTGAACTCCAGGAGCCAGTTGCTGGACCACACCTGCAGCCTGTCCAGATCCTTTTGTAGTTCTGCCTAGTCCTCGTCTGATTGGATTCTTCTCATCAACTTCACATTATCTGCAAACAGGGACACTAAGGAATCTATTCCTTCCATCATGTCATTCACAAATACCAGAAACAGCACTGGTCCTAGGACTGACCCTTGTGGAACCCCACTCATCACAGGTGCCCACTCTGACACCTTGCCATGTACCATGACTATTGTCTTCATGACAGGTATTCCCTGATCCATTGTAGTGCTTGTGTGTTGGGAGGGTGGGGGAAAAGAAGGCTCAGATTTCTTAAAACTGGTGACATCGGCACTGTTTCAAATCAGATTGATTGTTCTTATGGCAGATATTTGTTGGGTTATGATTAGTTTTAGATGATTTGCCTTTTTAGATCTCCATGCACACACACACCCTAGAGGGCAGTTCCTTTATAGTTTTAAGATAGGCTTAAGTGTTCCTAAAATGTTCTGCATACTAGGGGCTTTCTGCATGCACACCTAAGTGTCACCCATCTCTCTACAAATGTTGTATCATGCTGAAATAAAGCATCTTTAATCTTTTAAACCAGTAGTGTATTCTAGAAATAACTCTCACTGGTTTGGAAACTTTCTTAGTTATGTGTTTGTTAAATTTAATTTTGCTGTTATGGTGAATACACAAGAATTTTCCCCAGCCTTGTGTATTATTCACCTTTATTTAGTTGAATTTTTTTTTAACTTATTGTGCAATGTTATATAGTAGATTTTATCCATGTAACTTTTTTTTTTTTTCTCAACATCCAAGTGTGTATCTTTTCTATTCAACATTGAGTATGTTGTGATGAATGATTTGAAAAACCGACAAGTTGAAGATTGAGACACTTATGCAACATATGGGAATCTTTATTCAGGAAACGTTTCGCCACACAGTGGCTTTATCAGTCCAATACAAAGTAGAAAGGTGTAAGGAGAGGAGGCGTTTGAGGTTTGAGGTAATCAGTCCCTCAGTCTGGAGTCAATGTGTTCAGTCCATCAATCTTATAGATGGACTGAACACATCGACTCCAGGCTGAGGGACTGATTACCTCAAACCTCAAACTACTCCTCTCCTTACACTTTTCTACTTTGTATTGGACTGATGAAGCCACTGTGTGGCGAAACGTTTCCTGAATAAAGATTCCCATATGTTGCATAAGTGTCTCAATCTTCATTGAGTATGTTGTTGAAATCATCTAGATTATGATTGGAAATAATGAAGGTAGTGTCATCCACTAAATAGGAGAAAACAGCAGTAGACAACATTGAAAGCCTCAGAGAGAAAGATCTAGGGATAACTGAAAATAAATTAGACACATGTGCAACTCTTGGCTATCTTTGAGGAAACGTTTCGCCACACAGTGGCTTCATCAGTCTATACAAAGGAGAATCTTGAAGAACAGGAGGAGAATGAGGTAATCAGTCCCTCAACCTTGAGTCGATGTGGTCAGTCCATCAATCTTGAATAGAATCATTCATCTACAAATAACTGAAAATAAATATATTGTCACTGGAAGATCATATAAATAAAACTACGAAAAACTGTTACATAAAGCATTTTGAAAACAATTCCTGAATTCTTAAAAAACTTCATGACATACTGTACTTTCAGTAAATAGAAATTTGTATGCAACAGTAATCTTATATCTGCACTCATATAAACTTTTGAATGATAAACTCCAGACACTACAGAAAGGCCTCCAGAGCTAAGAAATATAAACCCTCACTTGATGTGAGCTGGTTATATGCAAGTTCACTTTTATGCAGTGACCCTCATTCATTCATTATACAGTGGACCCCTGCATAGCGATATTAATCCGTGCAAGAGGGCTCATTGTTATGCGAAATTATCGTTATGCGAATGAATTTTCCCCATAAGAAATAATGGAAATCAAATTAGTTCGTGCAAGACACCCCAAAGTATGAAAAAAAAAACATTTTTACCACATGAAATATTAATTTTAATACACACAAACTGAAAAAGGCATGCACAATTACATGACACTTACTTTTATTGAAGATCTGGTGATGATTGATGGGATGGGAGGAGGAGAATGTTAGTGTTTAGAAGGGGAATCCCCTTCCATTAAGACTTGGTGTCAAGTCCTTTTCTGGGGTTACTTCCCTTCTTCTTTTAATGCCACTAGGACCAGCTTCAGAGTCACTGGGGTTCTGTCGCACAACATATCTGTCCATAGTGGCCTGTACCTCTCGTTCCTTTATGAGTTCCCTAAAGTGTTTCACAACATAGTCAGTGTAATAGTCACCAGCACAGCTTGCAATAGCTGTGTGAGGGTGATTTTCATCCATAAAGGTTTGCACT